TATTGTACTTTGGATAAATATTAAAATTAGTTATTATAAAAATACCAGGTATATCAAAATATATTATTTATCCTCGATCAATCTCGGGATTTTAAATGCTATTCTTTAGATTTGATACCCAAATTTACGTGTTAAAGACAAAATCTATGTAAGAACAAAGTATCTAATAAGTTCATAAAGATGCAAACAAGCGTTACTCGTTATACACAGTTTTGCTTCCTTTTTAGACGTCGTCAAAGCAATAATAGTGAAAGAAATGTGTGTAAAAAGAATTTTTGAAAGAAAAAAAGGTGTGTTTGAAGAGAAATTAGTGAAAATTTTGCCCATAAATGCTTTAGGTGTGAAATTTTGAAAAAACAATTAGAAAAGAAAACGTTTGATTAGTATTGTTTTAGACCATGGTTAGAATAAAAAAGGTTAGAAAAACTCGGGTTGATTTGTGAGGATGGTTTTCACTCTTACGAGTAGGTCAAGTAGGTAACATGGTCATGATACCGAGATGTCGGGTAATGCTGAGACAATCAAGTATCGAATCCAAATTTCAAATCATGGTTTGAGTTTTGGACATCAGACGAGAACTTTATCTTCGCTCTTTTTGCAACATAATATAAAAGTCCAATAGTTTCCTTCGGCATGTATCTTTGAAGTCATTGATTTCATATCGAGAAGCGGTCTATAAATTGCAGCTTTCTCTAGACCTTCGAGAAAAGCATTAAAAAAATGCTCAAATGATACGATCCCTCTGCTACTCTTAGGTGCTTTGTTCTATTTTTTCATTGAGACCAAACCTAAACCTATACTCGAACCATAGTTGTTCACATGTTACTTTGAAATTCAATAGAGTTTTTCATAGCAAACTAAAGGGTTGGTTTACTTTTGGGCATACATCGTTTGATTTACCCTTCTTCTTCAAAGGCGTCTTTCTCGGTTGACCTAGATCTAGACGTTCACATAGAATTTAGATACAAAAGAAAAATGAAACATTCTCATAACGGTTCGAGCACTACTTATATTTATTATATGTCACGTTAACGTTATTTAAAAATAAACTATGATCAAACCATGTGAACATAAGAAAATTAGAGTGTTTGAATCATATAAACATTAAAGTGACATGTCGGCCAAGGAGGCCCGACCACAGCCGCCCAAGCTTCAGCACATCACAGTGTATACTCTTTTTTTTCCAAGGTCTACCAAAATGGCACTTCTAATTCTGCATGAAATATAAGAAAAATGCATCTTTAAACACTGTTTTTGGTCAATTTGCATCACCTTTTTTGACCCCTTTTGCTCTCATGCAAGCTACTTTTCTACGTGATTCGAATGCTTTTTGGAAATATATTCAAACGTTTTCCAATCAAACTGTTCGATGAAATGACTACTTGTGTTTCGATTCGCATTCATTTGTGTCTCGAATGTTTGTAGAACTTATGATAAACGTTTGTTTAGAACAGTTGAGTGCATTTTTGCAATTTTTCTCTCGTATATCAACTTTCATCGTAGATAAATTGGTGATACCAACTTAAGCTAATTAGATAAGTGGTCTTACTATTGAGGGTTGAAAGAGTTGTATTATGCATGATGACATGTGACCAGTGGTCTGTGTCATATGTTTGATGTGTACTGTGTTTATGATATGATGTGTTCGACGATATGAAGAATTATAAAACATTTTTTAAAAAGTTGAACGGTATTAACGTTATTTTTTTAAATTTTATGAATATTTTTACTTTTGCTATGTGAAGGTAGAGATGTATTCAGTTTTAAAGTTGATGAGAAAAACCTTACACAGATAGTCTTGATATGAGTTTTTTTGGAACATCCTCAGTAGTCATACATGTATCAAATATTAAACAACGAATCTACCAAATACATGTATGAAGGTTTCTGCAAAAGAAAAAAAAAAAAAAAACGTGCAACAACAAAGGTGTTCATAGGTTTGAGTTAACCCCACCGTCCTCGAACCTTCGAACACCTTCGCTGTTTCTGTCTTTATGTCTCTTCGGTTACCTTTTCCAACCGAACAAGATTTCAGTTTATAAAAAAAAAAAAAAAACATACAAAAAATGCATAATAATTACATCAGCCAAAGTTTTATCATCTTTTAGTTTATTTTCACGTGGGTCCTCCAATTTTCCTATTTATATCAAATCCACCCCTTCACTTTTCCAAACAATCCCCCAAAATTCCAATATTTACATTTCTTCCCATTCTCACTCCCACTCAAAAAATGGCTCATTTTTTGGTTCTTCTCTTTGTGTTCTTCTCTTGCAGCTCTGCCCTGAATCCTCCCTCTCCTGGCTTCTACCCAAGCAACCAAGTTCAATCCATTGGGTTCGATCACGGTTTTCGAAACCGATGGGGCTCTCAACACCAAAAAGTCGACCACGGAGCCTTAACTATCTGGCTCGATAGTTCATCAGGTATACACGATAACCTATCAACTTAAGCTTTCGATACCATTTTCTTTCTCGTTGATATCGATTATTATATATACAACAGGTAGCGGATTCAAGTCTCTTCATCGATACAAATCTGGCTACTTTGGAGCCGCCATTAAACTTCATCCTGGCTACACCGCAGGAGTCATTACTTCCTTTTACGTAAGGATTGTAGCTTAGCTTAAACTTTTGAATTTAGTGGTAGTTTAATTATTTTCTTGATTCTTCTAGCTTTCGAATAATGAAGATTACCCGGGAAACCACGACGAGATTGATATTGAGTTCCTTGGAACGACGCCAGGTAAGCCATATGTTCTACAAACGAATGTGTTCATGAGAGGGAGCGGAGATGGAAATATCATAGGAAGGGAAATGAGGTTCCATCTTTGGTTCGACCCGACTCAAGATTTCCACAACTACGCCATTTTATGGACTCCAGAAGAAATCATGTAAGTTCGTTACATATTTAGTCTATGTACTTTTAAATCGTTCGTTCGTTCGTTAATTTTGTTGGTATGATATGATATATAGATTCTTAGTGGACGACGTACCAATCAGAAGGTACGTGAAGAAGAGCGAGGCAACATTTCCAATAAGGCCAATGTGGGTTTACGGGTCGATATGGGACGCGTCGTCGTGGGCGACGGAGGATGGAAAATACAAGGCTGACTATAGATACCAACCGTTTATTGGAAGGTATAACAACTTCAAGCTAGGTGGATGCGCGGTAGACGGGGCGGCAACGTGTCGTCGGGTGAGCAGCGGACCGGGTGGTCGGGGTCTGAGCCAGCAGCAGGAGAAGGCCATGGCGTGGGTGCAGGGAAATTACTTGATGTATAACTATTGCCATGATCCAAGGAGAGATCACACCTCAACTCCTGAGTGTTGATCCAAGAAAAGCTCACATTTTTATACTTATTATACAGAAAAAAGAAGAGTTGGGGGATTTGAGAGTGGTCAGGAAAGAGTTGTGTTAGGCCCTCCAAGTCCTTATGTTTATGCTTTTCTATGATTGCTTGTTTTGTTTTCTTGCTATTAATCATACTATCAATGGAATAAATGATATCATCGGTTTGATTCCATGATAACGACCCGAGTTCTAAAATAATATCATATCCAGTTCTTCGTCGTCTTTTGTATGAGCGGGATATCTTTAAAATCTTTATGATGTTTGAAATAATTAACAACCGAGGCTCTTAACCCAAATATACTTTTATTTACAATTCCAAAAAAATCAGGTAAACTAATGTGAAATAGTTGGGCGGGTCGGGATGTTGATCAGGCAACCCTAATTCTCAACCCAACAATCTAAGCTTTTGTTGAATCAAATTAATTAACACTTCCTTATACAAAATTCTGATCTACTAAAAGATGAGATTAGAATTAGATTACTAATCAAAAATCTAGAAGCAAGATTTGGAAATTTTGTTCTAAATTGAGTCACTTGAACTTGATCCAGACTTGATTGAATGACTCGGATTGTTTGAAAACTTAGAAATGACAAATATGATGATTGTATTTATAAGGAAATGTATCAATTTGAGATCTGAATTACATCCATCCACGATTTTTACCTAAGACTTTTGTGGTCGGGATTTAATCCCGATCCCCTTTAATCTGCACAAAAGACAAAGTCAAATTAACAATTTACCCATTACATAATTTATAAAATTAAAAATAATACTTTTCAACAAATGTTGATGTGCTTGAGTGGCTGAGTAGACAGGTTTGAAATCAACTTGGCAATATGTCGATTTCGAACATCGTGATTCTTATTAGATGTGGAAGCCTTCTTCGTCCCTAAGTCATTCTTATAGGTACATTTTTGTACAAACATAAGAAGAAATAATTCATATTCAACGTGTGCACATGCATGAAATTCCACGTAAAAATCATAGTTATGTAAGATGATGCATGTAAGTTGCAAGAAGTCAGGAGGAGCTGGACGCGAGCTGACGGCTGGAAGGCGGCTTAGACCGCGCTGAAAGGGAATATGCTGTGTGCGCGTGATGGGCCATCTGGGCTGCACTCATTAGTCGTGGGTGGATTATGGGCTGGGCCGAGGACGAGTTGGGTCGTTTATGTGGGCTACTAGGCCTGCTTTTGTCTGACCATGGACCAAAGGCTCGTATGTTGGGCCGAGTGTGGAATGGGCCGTACGTTTCTGAACATGGGCTTCGAGTTTTGGAGCTTCGTTCGCTGGCGGTTGGTTTGCGGCTGTCCGGTGCTCGGGTTTGGGGATCTAACCCAACCCAACCCGGAAATAACCCGGTTCATTGGCCGGTTAATTACTACAATTGTAACTGATTTTTTTTCCCCCAAATCCCTCTCATGGGCCGACATGTCGTCTACCTTCAGATTCTTTCATATTGGCCGATAATCGCCTGTCGACAGAAAACTTGGAATCATCAGCCCTGACTCTATCTTGACGGAATAATTCCCATTTTCTGACTTTGAGCCTAAGCTTCTTGAGGTTTTTCAATTCACTTCGATTCCATTGATCTTGAGAACGCATCGAATTCTTTGATTTCCCAAAATTTCTGTTAGTCTAAGGGAGGGATGGAGAAAATGATTAGCATGTTGAAGCCCAAGCCAAATCCGCAGCAGCAGCTGCGGGAATGGCAGCGAAAGCTCCGACAAGAGTGCCGCAACGTCGAACGTCAAATTCGAGGTAATGGATCTGTTTTCGTCTTTTCGATTTCAATCTGGTTCGTGTTTTTATGTATCTTTCCATTACTGGGTTGAAATTTTGATCATCTACGTTTAGGGATTCTTTAATTCTTAATGTTCTTTGATTTGGTTTGGTTTGGTTTATTTTTGCTCGATGGGTTTGGTCCAGATATACAGAGAGAGGAGAAAAATGTTCAGAAAGCTATTAAGGAAGCTGCTAAGAGGAATGATATGGTCTCTGCAAAGGTATGTTAAAAAACTTCAGGTTATCTCTGTTTAATTCTCTAATCAGGGGTTTCATCAAAAAGAAAAAAAGTTATAATATGGGGAAATTTTCCCTAATCTACTTTGGGGTGAGAGAGAGGGAGATTCTAGTAATGGTTGCTTGATTGGAACAATCCATCGTTTGCATTTACCGTGCTGAACTTCTTTTTGTTCTGCTGAGAACTTTGCCTAGGATGGCTGGTTTCATTTTGATCTTAAGGGTTCATATTTTCTTGCTTGCCATTAGGGTTCATCTTGGATATGGACAGTAATGGGATCGTGTGATATGATTCATAATTTAGTACACTGTGTCTAATCCCTTGTTGTTTCTGCATGGTATTATACCCTTTTATCTCTTGTTATTTAATACTGCCCTGCAATTGTTTTTCAGGCACTTGCCATAGAAATTGTGAGGTCTAAAAAGACTGTGAACCGTCTTCATGAAAATAAGGCGCAGCTTAACTCGATATCCATGCACCTTGGCGAAAGTGTTGGTATGATGCTTTGCATTTCCTAAAACTTGAAATTAGGTTTTTTTGTTGTCTTATCTTCTCCCACAACATACTTAAATGTTGAGGTTTTCATACTTTTGAGGAGTCAGGGAGGGATGATTTGATGATCGGAGCAAGCTGCATAGTCTAGCTTGAGTTTTTGATAAACAATAGTTTGCTGAATTTTTTGTTTTTTTTTTAATTTATTTTTTGATTATGTTATAAATTGTTGAATATGAATAGCAAAGCTTGATGTGGTGTTAAATTTAAAAGTATAGGGAGGGAAGGCGAAGGGGAATGGCCTCTTATTTAGCACATAATTAATGACACAACTTTTTATATCGAAGTGTAACATAGTATGATCATTGCACAATCACCATTTTTATTGATATTTTTCTCGAGTATGTTAAAGTGCGAAATTTGTATTTCTCTAAGAGCTTTGAATGTGATCACACATCTGGGATTCTGGATACCTTTGATCGAAAGCCTGCCAATTTTGCAGCCATTGCGAGAACGGTGGGGCATCTTTCCAAGAGTGCTGAAGTTATGAAGCTTGTTAATAACCTGATGAAGGCGCCAGAAATGGCAACTACAATGCAAGAGTTTAGCAAGGAGATGACCAAGGTATCTTTTCTTAAAAATAGAAACAATTTCTAACTTTCTCTTTGGTCGAGGTTATGAATTTAAAGCTGATGTACCCTTGGTTGAACATTATTATTAGTTAGCTCCTTTTTACATGTAAATCAGAATTCTTTTTAATCAGGTTACAGTTTTTTTCATCCTGGTTCTTCATAACTGGGTTGATCTTTTCTTTTCATTCGGTAAAATAAGGACAAGTTCTTACTATTATACTACTACCCTTATTTTGGATTAACACAAAAATGAAACAATCTAATGGTCTGGCCACAGAACACCTCGTCCTGAAGAAAGTATAAGAGGAGAACCTTCCATTCATATAAACTACGAGGAGGCTATAATTACAAAAGAAATTTTGTGGTTTGACCACCACGACGATGTTGTATACTACCCTTCCTCAAATCCTTATGCTCATCTTCTATTTATCCATTTATTGAAAGGATGTTTCATTATAGTCCTTCTGTCAAGTCTTTGTTCTCGGTTTAATTTCCAAACACTACTGAATTTATATGTTCTCTTTGGAAAGTACTACAATGGCCTCGTTAATATAGTTGTTATTGATATCTGTAGGCTGGGGTGATCGAGGAAATCGTGAATGATGCAGTGGATTCAGCACTAGATTCTGAGGATATAGAAGAGGAGATTGAAGAGGAAGTTGACAAAGTTTTGTCAGCCATTGCTGGCGAGACTGCTGCACAGCTTCCAGAAGCAGTCAGGAAGGAAAAGATGAAGCAACCAGCTCGTGCCGAAGTTCAGGAAGAGGTATATATTGCATAGTTTTTAGTCCCCATGAAACTTGACGATGTTCTAGTTCTGGCCATGGAAATGTGAAAAAGAAACGTCATGACATATTTACTCCTTTGCAGGAAGAAGCAATAGCTGAGGGCGTTGACGATGAGGAAGAACTAGAAGAAATAAGGGCTCGGCTTGCAAAAGTTAGATCATAAATTTGATATTTCACATAAGAATTTCAAAACAGTCATAACTCGATTTGAGCCGCAACATTACTTCCCTGGTATTTTATGAGAGAGAAAATGAGCGACATATCGAACTTTCTCTTGTGCATGTATGTTTGATCAAAATTCATAAACCGAGAGTATATTTGTCAAATAGATCGGAAGGAGGAGATGAAGGTGGGGATGGAGATAGAGACTAACCGTTTGATGTATATTGTATCTAATCTGCTCAACAGAATGCAAATGATGCATTGTTCTATCTTCTTATATCTGTTTGAATGCATTATGTTTCTTTCTATGTCTACACTGTGATCTCCCTTTTCCTTTACAGTACAATAGAGTCTGCCATAAAGTAACTGTAATAGGTGGGCAAAGTTCTGTATATCAGACAAAATTGTCCATTTTCAGATCCTGCAGGCAGTTGGAAGTTTGACAAAGTAAGTTTTAAGGCTTTAAATATTGAAATGAACCAATGAAAAGAGCGATAGTGGTAATAGGTGAATGTTATACCAATCAAGTAGCAAATGGAGTTCCTTATCTTAGACGTTTCCATTCCATTCTTTAGCAAAAGAAAAGATGAAAAGAGAGAGAGGAAGATGCATGTTGGGTAAGCCTTTAAGGCACGTCAAGTTTTGCTTGTCACATTCTTTTTGCTATAGATTATGATAGTTAGAAAAAGTCACGAATTCAAGCATTTTGATTATTTCAAAAGCATGATAGACTTCTTGTCCTGTTTGATTCCCTTTGGCTCAGCAGTTATGCTTATTCATCCCGTGATGATATGAACAGTAATTGTGTAATGATTCCAGAGCTAATAAAAGAGAAATAGCAGAGCTCACTTTTCTTTTCTGCTTTTCTAGCTCTCTCTCTTTCTGTTTTTTAGTATTTGCTTATTGACTAGAACTTCTTTTGAACTGTGCTTTGCTTTTTTGTTTCTACAACTACCTCCCCAAATCTCCATCCACCCACCCTAGGCTCTGTCTTCTCTCTCTAGCTTTGGAAATTCTTTACTCCAAGTTTGTGTTAGCCTTATCATCCAAGTAAGTTTGGTCGTTCATCTGAGATAGAATCTTATATATACCCTCAACCATTGTTGGCAGAGATATCTTTGTACACACACAAAAGAAATGACAACTTCTTTCTCTCACAGTTGTCTTTCTTTCTTTCTGCTTCTTGCTATTTCATTTGCATCTGCAACTTCTCCAAACCAAGAGCAGCCAACCTTATCTTCAACAATCAACTATCCAATCCTTCAAGCAGAGAAGCTCATTAGAGACCTCAACTTGTTCCCCAAGGAATCCATAAACATTGCAGCAGAAAACCCTTCATTTTCGTCTTCAGGAATTGTCGAGAAAAGTTTTCAGTTCCCTTTCATTGGAAGAAAAAGTCAAGGCCCTTCCGTTCAAGAACTTGGCCACCATGCTGGGTATTATCCCCTTCCTCATACTAAATCAGCAAGGTAATTAAGCACGCTTTCAATCAGAGGTTATGCATATTATAAGATGTGATTGGTACTTTTTTTTTTTTTATCCTTCATTATAAATTGGATAATGGGATGCAAAAGGATAAGGAGAAAAAGTTGTTTTCTCTTTGAATACGAACAAGATTGGTTTCACTCATCTCTAGCATTTTGTTCATGCCTGCTATAATCTTGACTGTAAATCTCTTATAACTCAAGTTGTGAATGAATTGCTCTTCATTCTTATTAATTCCAACTTTAGAGACTTTGCATTAGCCTGTAATTCTCAGTTATAGTAGGTCATGTGGAATTTTTTATATTCATGTGAAGGATATACAGCTTGCTGAATAAAAAAATATCAAGGAATCTTTTCACTTGTTGGTCATCATTTGAGTCCGTGATCCCTGCCTGTATTTCCCATTTCTCCCAACTTCGGTTTTTGGAAACTTTCACAGGACTGATATATTTTCTTTATTCATGTCATGTGACTCGTATACAGGATGTTCTACTTATTCTTTGAATCAAGAAACAGCAAGAAGGACCCTGTTGTGATATGGTTAACAGGAGGGCCAGGATGCAGCAGTGAGCTTGCCATGTTCTATGAAAATGGTCCTTTCCAAATTGCAAACAACTTGTCTCTTGTTTGGAATGACTATGGCTGGGATAAGGTAACATCCTGCCCCCATGTCCTATTCAAAATCACTCTCTTTTACTTCTTCGTCTGATTTTGGTCATATGGATCCTTGTATGCAGATATCAAATCTTATTTACGTCGACCAGCCTACTGGAACTGGTTTCAGTTACACTTCCGACGATGATGACATTCGTCACGATGAGGAAGGAGTCAGCAATGATTTGTATGACTTCTTACAGGTAACCACAATTTCGCTTCGGTTTCATCTAGTATAACAGTATCTTGATACATTGTGTAATGGCAAGATATCCTACATTATTAACAAATTGCTTCCCTTACATTTCTTGGCTATACTCATATTCTCAGGCATTTTTTACTGAGCATAAAGAATTTGCTGCAAATGACTTTTACATCACTGGCGAATCGTATGCTGGGCACTACATTCCTGCATTTGCAGCCAGAGTTCACCAAGGAAATAAAGAAAAGCAGGGAATCCATATAAATCTCAAGGTACCTATTATAACATATCTTCTTTCCTCAATTATTTTTATCCAAATTATAAGGTGAATGTTTTATCAGGGTTTTGCAATTGGCAACGGGCTTACTAATCCAGAAATTCAGTATAAAGCATACACTGATTATGCCTTGGAAATGGGATTGATTGGAAAATCTGACTTCAACAGCATAAACAAGTTGGTCCCAGGCTGTGAAAAGGCAATCAAAAGTTGTGGTAACTTTCTAAATATCTACCAAAGTTTTTCTCAAATATATGATGTCATAAGGTATGGCGAAGTAACGTCTTTTCGATACGCTTTTCTCTGTCATGAATCCATCAGGTACTCATGGGGGAAGTGCTTGTGTATCTTCTTATATTATCTGCAACCGGATATTCAGTAGAATCATGGACGTTGTCGGAGACAAAAACGTAAGGACAGACAAACTAAATGATCAAATCTTATAATTGAAGTACCATGTTGTATTTAGTTCTTACAACTTCTTTCCATTAACTACCATTTTCCTCTGATGAAAAGGCTATCATGTCTTTGTTATGCAGTACTATGATGTTAGAAAGAAATGCATTGGAAATCTTTGTTACGACTTCTCGAACATGGAGAAATTCCTTAACGAAAAATCAGTAAGAACCGCGCTCGGAGTCGGGGATATGGACTTTGTGTCATGCAGCAGCAAGGTGTACAGTGCCATGCTTATGGATTGGATGAGAAATCTTGAGTTTGGCATTCCAGCTCTCATTGAGGATGGAATCAAGGTGTTGGTGTATGCGGGCGAGTATGATCTGATATGCAATTGGCTCGGTAAGTTCTCGATGCTTGCATCTTAAACCATTCTCCTTTTGAAGTCTAATCGTTTTCGAAGAAAATGTTTCTGAAAGAATTTTTACTATTGTCGAAGGAAATTCGAGATGGGTTCATGAAATGAACTGGTCTGGTCAGAAAGCATTTGCAGCATCCAAAATTGTTCCATTCTTAGTAGATGGTAAAGAAGCTGGCGTTCTCAAAAGCCATGGTCCTCTTGCGTTCCTAAAGGTCTTTCTCTTTGTCCCAAATATAAAATACCAACCATTTGAACATTGTGGATCATATTATTACAGGGATCATCAGAGGTTCTAATTGAATGTGGTGTGGTTGGTTGAACAGGTTCATAATGCAGGTCATATGGTGCCAATGGATCAGCCAAAGGCTTCGCTTCAAATGCTGCAGAGTTGGATGCAGGGCAAACTTGCCTTGGATGAGACAACACATGAAAGACTTGCTCCAAAATGACTGCCATCTCTCAACTCAATTTCTTCCTTGTTTCAAATGCTTGATCTCACACACTGATCACTATATGTGTCCAAGTGGGCACGAGCACGGAGATGGAGATGGAGAGTATAATCTCATTCCCAACCCTATTTATCTAACAGGAAAAAAAATGTTCTCCACTCTCTCCCTGTTCTTCGTCTAAACAGAAAATTCATTCTCTAAAATAATAACTTGTGTATTGTGAACTAGTATAAGTAAATTCACGTATAATCATAAGAATACTTCAAGCTTACGTCCAATTATTCAAATTTAGCACTAAACCGAATCAAACTAAAAGTTTAATAATGAAATTTATTCATCAAATTAAGACAAGAATATATATATATACAAAGGGTAGGTTACCCTATGAATATTATATAAACCCTACAATAGTAAATAGTAAATAGTAAATAGGTAAATAGGTAAATAGAAGAAAGAAGTAAAAATTGAAGTATTTTGGTTTCTAGAAATGGGCATTTTAACATAAATAGAAACTGGGCATAAACATGAAGCTTCCCTAAAAGAATATTCATAGCCATAAATATTGATGAAGAAAAAAACAATACCAAAAATGTATGGTTGTTTAGGGCACTGACTGAATAAGAAGGTGAATTTTATGTGCAAATATAGATAGATAGCATCACCTCAACCCTACAAAAATAGGATTTTTTTTTTTTTTTTTTTTTTTTTTTTTTTTTTTTTTTT